ACTCTGTTTGATATTTTAATATAATTTCATAGCATTATAATGAATAACTTTGAAATGCATTAATTATAAAGTGAATAAATTATAAGAGATAACAAATTCACCATCTTATTTATGTAGATTTATGTGAATAAATAATATCAAAATAATATCAATAAAATTAATATTAAAATAATAATGAATTATATTAAATAATAACCGATAACTTTGCGATATCCAATTTAACATTTTAAACACCAAAATTTACTATTCATGCAATACTTACTTTTATTTAAGCTTTTATTCATTAATTTATAAAAAATTTATAAATTATTTTTAATAATTTTTATAAATAAATAATAATTTCTAAAAAATGTTATCATATATGAAATCATGAATTTTTATTAATTGTATTAGAGTCTTCCATTTTTTCTAATTATCATTGTTAACTTTTCATTTGATCATTATAATTTTAATTGCCCAAAAATTATTTTATAGTTTATTTTCACATTTTACGGATTCTTCATTGAACTTTTCTGTGGATGAATACGAAATATGATTAGATCATCTAATACATTTTGAACAGCTATTGTGTTTATATAATCAGTTTATATAAATAGTGATCGCATAATATCAAGTTATCAAAAATAGATATATATAAATGAAATTGTAATATAAAAAATTATCGTATAATAGTAATAATTTTTTTTGCAAATATTCGAAAACTAAAATCGGCAGTTGTAAATAATACAAATAATACAAAAAACATTATTTAAAATTTCTTAAAATTAATAGTTTTTAAAATTTCAACATATTAAATAATCATCGAAATCAAAACCAGCTAACTTGCTTTTTTAATAATTGCCAATAATATTAAAAAAAAAGGCAAAATCAGCAAAAATGAAAATAAATTAAATCATATCATAAATTTTAAGATCAGAATAACGATTTGTAACTTTATAATTTCTATCTAACTTAATTATTTCTTAACACAAATATTTAAATTCCAGAAACGAAAAAAAGAAAGAAAGAAAACAAAATAATTGAATTTTATCATCGAAACGAATTAAAAAATCGAACAAAAGAACACGATGAAATAATATTACGACAGCCATTTAGTATCGAGTGAAAGGGAATGATGCAGAATGATGGACCAAAATTTATTATCGAATATCTCGCCACGTTCACCGATAACGCAACGTCGTTTTGAGTAGAACGAGCGTAATGTGAAGAAGAAACGCGTCTCACGTGTGCATAATATGGATTAGGTTTCGCGGTACTCGAAAGAAAAGTGCGCGCCGACTCGATGGTTTCATCCAGAGAAATCTGGGCGGAGTTTCGAGCTACCGAGGTGAAACTGCACCGCCCAGCTTCGTCCCCTGTTCGTCCTTCTACGTTCACCATTCCCCTCTATACGCCATTTCCCACCCTTGTTCGGTGGGATTTCTTTCGCGAGCTACATTTCTAGCGCGCAAACGCGCCCCAGCACATCCACCAATTTCAGATAGATAGACCGACAGGGCCACTGTTGCAATCGTGTGCCGTTGTATTTACGCCTGTTCTTTTCGACCCAACTCCCTTTTTGCTTTTCCTCTTTCTCGATGATTGCTACCATCTTTCTTCCGATCCGAGTAAATTCAGTTTCATGGTATATATACCGAGTGCTTTTAGGATGTTTGGATGAACCGGTATGTTTCTGTATTTTGGTAAATATTTGTGGATAAAAATTTGTGGAGAATAGAAATTTGGCTAAAAGCTAACAGCAGTTGTATTTTTCCTTGATTATTTGTGTTTTTAAGTTGATAGCAAAATTTCGCATATTTATAATCAATACGTAAAATTTTTCAGACTTTTTGTTTTTTTGTATGTATTAATTAATACGATACATTGAATCAAAAAAATTTTAAAAACAAGAAAGTTCCGCAAAAAAATCAGATTTAGTATTTTTATATAATGGCTCGCAGAATTGTGTGCTCATTATGCAGAATTATGTTTATTTTCATCAATAAATAACTATTTTTTAAAATAAAAAATTGCAAATATTTATTATATAAGATTATATTAATATAATTCTTAAATTATATAAATATTATATAATATTTATTGTTTACAGTTTTAGTATATAATAAAAAAAAACATTAAATATAGAAAAATATTTCGGAAATCAAATCAAAATTGAAAAAATATTATTGAATATTTAATAAATGTTTATTTATTTTTTTATTATAAAAATAATTCTATTATAATTTAAAACAGTAAAAATATATTACATAATAAATAATTACGAATTTATATTTTTAATAATTATAATTATTAAATAAAATAACTATAAAAATAAATAAGTTTAATAAGTTCATTCTGATATTTTATATTAAAAAAGAAATTATAAATAAAAAATACAATTACGATTTGAAATTTTTTTCATACAAAGAATTTATTTTTATCATTCAAGCATCCCGCCATTTGAAAATCATGAGGATAAATAAGATCAAACAAACAATAGGATTCTTGATATCCTTTTGTTCTCCTTTGCGTATTAAAAGTTATCAATAGTCTTTCGGCGAAATCACGATTTGTCCGCTTTTTATACGTATTTCACTCATCGAAACAAAAGATGACTACAATTTTCACGAAGAAATGTCTACATTGACGAGTAAAATGACATGGCATCAACCTACGCATTTTCTGTATCGCAACAATGAAAAGAAAGTAAAGGAAGATTATTTTGTGTAGATGCTTTATTTGTAAGTATATTTATTCAACAATATATATTCGTTCATAGAATCATTTCTATAATATATGTTTTAAAAGATTTCAACGTATTTATGTCTAGGTTATGCTTATGTAATTTATGAACAATTGTTTGCGATAAAAATAAATGGCGATAGAACTATTGAATTGCAATCAGAAAAATTGAAAATCATAATTCCTTTAAAATTTATATTAAAAATTTTTAAATGAACTCATAAATAATTTAAAAATTTCGAATAACTATTGATAAATTAATTGTAAAAATTGAAAAAATTAAAAATTTAATAATATTATCATAATATTTATAAAGAAATTAACAACACATTCTTTTTATTAATTTTTATTTTTGCTCATTTTTCAGAATTAAATTTAATCTTATTAGAATTAAATTTAAATTCCAATAATATTGTAGATAATCTTCAATTAAGTTTGATTACAGCAATTATCATTAAATTAAAATTTATTAACGATTAATTAAAATTTCACTCATATGTTCTTATATTCAATAATATAATTAATTTATCAAATCTTCTATCTAAATAAATAAATAATTAGTACTGCCTTTTATTTAAATTGTCCATAAAATCTTAACGTGTTTGAAATAATTATAAATATATTTAATTTAAAATATCTTATTAAATTGCAATTATAATCATTTCTGATATTGAGGAATTCTCTAATTGTACAATTTTCCACATAGATGAATATATTTTTTTTATACTCTATAAGATTTAATTTCAATCTTATCTCTTCATAAATAAAAGCGGATAAACATAGCAAATATTTTATGGAAAGAATAAACGAAATAATATTATGCTTAATCAATATGATCAGATTATTTATGATTGATAATCTGATATGAAGTTAATATATAATTAATGGATAATCTATTATAATTGAAACATTAAACAAGTATCCATTAATATATGAAGAATAATTATTATTTATCTATATTCTTAATTGATATTTCATTATTTTTTATAGGCAATATAATTCTGGTTATTTAAAAGTCAATGTATTTTAATTATTATCATTAGAATTTATTGATTTTAGATAGAAATTTATAGCTATAACGTGTTTTTAGTTTGAAATAATATATAATAATATCTATGACATTGTACATTGCAATAATTGTAAGTAATATATACATACTACATTACATATATATATATACATACATATACTATATTATATAATAAACGCTTCAATATTAATTCCTTTTCTCTTTTTTTTAAACTTCGATACTTTAATCAACATTTATAATAATCACATTTATATGATTGATACGAAATTACATTAAATGCAATTAAAAAAGAAGAAAATTAAATAATAATGAATAGATATAATATGTAATATGACTATTAAAATAAAATTTTTATAAATTTTTTAAATTTCCATGATAATCTTAAATGAAATATTTTATATAGTTACTTAATTAATTATATAGTTACTTAATTAGATTAAATCTAACTTGATAGCGAAAAATGAAAATAAAGTTAAAATTAAGCGTAAAGTAATTTCGCCAGAAAATGAATTCCACATAAAATGAAATTGGTCCAGGAATATGAGATGAGATATTACAATAAATTTGATTATATAACAGTATCGTTTATTAAATTTGTTATTATTTTATGAAACAGTTTTGATCGTGTTGATTAAATATTTAATTAATGTTAAATTATTCATAGAGATTAATTTAAAATAAAATTAAGGTACAAATATAAATTCATGAAATTCCATTAAAATTATAACATTTATTAAGTAACTATTTCTCTAATCATTTCTTACAATTTTTAATTAAAATCAATTATGAAATGATCACGAGCATTTATAAACGAACAAAATTTGGAATCTTATTTTCAAATAATTGTAATAAAAATTACAAGCAAAAGAAAATACATATTAAGAAATTTCCACTTCCATATTACTTCCACTATTACTTAAAGAAAAGATAAATACACGAAAATAAAAATGCAAAGAAAGCAAATTCAATTTCCATTGAATTTTATGTAAATCATATTGTAAAATAATAATAAATATTTCTTAATGCAACAATTTATTGAATAAAATTTAGATATAGATTCTAAAACATTTAAATAGAAATTTCACATATTATTATTATTTTAATATTTCTATACAAGTATATAAATAAAAATATTGCATTCGCGTATCGTCATATTTTTCTGATACATATATTTGCTTATATACTTCTCTATTTAATTGCATGGTAAAGAAAAATAATGGATATTTAAAAAAGATTTCTCTTTTTATAGAAAGCACAAGTTCGCATTGCGTAGGATGTGGTGGTCGAATTCATGATCAATGGATTTTGCGAGTGGCACCGAATCTGGAATGGCACGCTGCTTGTTTGAAATGTGCGGAATGTCAGCAATTTTTGGACGAGCACTGCACCTGCTTCGTACGAGATGGAAAAACTTATTGCAAGCGAGATTATGTCAGGTAAAAAACTATTTAATAATCTATTATTAACTTTGCAACGACATATTTAGGTTTGGCATACCTTGCATATTTGTACTATGCATCATTAAAAAAAAAAAATTTTATATCTAGAGAATTTCGGAATACAATAATGAAAACAAGTATTCTATTGAAATAATGAAAGATCCCAATGTGCCATTATACAATCAATACTAGAATTGTAATGTTTATTATATATTATACATATATATTATATATATACACATAAATAATTATATAATTATAACAATAATTATAATAATATTCAATTATATTATTATAATATTAATTATATTAATATTTAAAATAATCCAAGATCGAAAGTAATATATTAAAAAAAAATAACTTAATAAATAGTCAAAATCACAACTTTTTCATATTATACAATAAAAAATTGTAATTAAAATATAGATATATATTTTAATAATATCGATAAATATATCTATAGAAAAAAATAATTTTTCTATATCCGAAAGTAATTTTTCATTAATACTTTAAAATTAAATTATGATTTTACAATTTTTATTTAAATTATTGAAAATTATTTTAAATTATATTTTAAAATTTATAATTCAAAATTTATAATCATTTTTTTTACAAACATGTACTTATCTTTTTTTCTAATCTCTAATCTGATCTTTTTAAATATAATATAACTGATTATGCATTTTATTAATAAAAATTAGTAATATAAGTTGAAAAGTATTATTGATGGCGATAATAATACTAACAGCTTCAATTAAAAATGTTACGAATAGGAAATATTCAGTAATCAATATTATTGCTTTTTACCATATGAAAATATAGATATAATACATGCAATGAATTGAATATAAGAATTAGATATATGAAAAAATTTTTAAAAAATAATATATATATCATCATATAAAATAATCCTTAATTTAGTAAAAAAAACTTAGTATGAACACAGGTATTTCATTTTCACATATTATTTATATTGTTAGTATGAGTACTATAATAATTCAAATCTTTTGATTTTTTAAAATTGAAATTGTAAATAAGTGATTGTAAATCTGGAATAATTGTAATAACATTTTCTCCAGTTTTGAATTTTTATTAATATCTTTGTTATTACTTTTCATAAAATAAAACAATTTTGATTCAATAATATTAAATAAACATACAAGATTGTTATAGATATGAAAATTTTTACTATAAATATATATATATACTATAAATATAGGTAATAAAATTTCTATGTTATCAAATATTCCAAAGCATTCTTTTTTACCTGTACGAATAAAACGATTTCTATTGCTATAGAAAATACAAAATTGACAACGAACGCACGCGATATAGGTAATTCTTTTCAATTTGCAAACGGCGAGATTGAAGAGAAATAAAAATAGAAAAAAAAAAAAAATGCAACGCGTCGAATGGAAAAAAAAAAAAGAAGTACAGAAAATAAGAACTGACTTTCTTCGTGGAGTATTTTTATCTAACATATACGGAGCAGCTTCTGCCGTCTGCGTGCAGAGAAATGCATTCGTAACAAAAAGTATGTTTCACACGTGGTTGAATCGAACTTGCGGAATTGAACGCAGAATTCGTGTCTTTCATTTCACGACAAAATTCTTAACTTGAAGTTACGTTAACAGTATAAACAAGCAAATTTTATTGCTTTCAATATAAAAGAGAAAAATATACAAATGTATCTTTATTCGAATCGTTACATATTATTATGATCTTAATTTCTTTTTCATAATTTATCATTTATTTCATGAACATATACTTTTTAGAAGTTGTTAATTTAATTATTATATGCGAAAATCAAATGTAATAAAATTATAGCAAAATGAATATGAATATGAAGAAAAATAAATAAAGTTAACTACTAAGTACTACATATAATTATATCATATTTGAAGCTAAACAAAAACAACTATGAAATTATTCTGACATATTGATGTGATTATTTTATTTTTTTAAAATATTTTTTTAAAAATTGAAATAGAAAAGAGTGAATTATTAAAAGTCAATAATTTTAATTTAAATTTAGAAATTGGTATGAATATCTAGATATAAAAAATATAAATCATATTTTTCGTGATTTAATGATGCAGAAACATAATCTGAAATGAATGAAGTTTTCAAAAATAAAAAAATCATATTGATCGATACTATGAGTAAAAGTTAAAAAATTCCGTTTTAAAACTCTTCGATCGATACAATTTCTCCCTGCAAAGTTGTGGCAAATATTTTTGGGTTCGGGGTTTATTTGCATTGATCCATCGAACATTGAAATGCGTCCGAAACGAAGAAGAAGACTGGCATATCCGGTCGACATGGATTTGCCAGCCCTGAGAGATACCGATGACGTTTGTTTGTTGTTTCTGTCGCCTCGTACGAAAAGTCGAAACAACCATGGGGTAAAACGTTTTCTTCTGGGTGTTCTTCAATGCTTCCCATTCTTGAATAAATTTGGTTATCGACCAATGGAACAGAACTTAGAATTACGTGATAAAAAAATTTTTTGTAATTTTGATTTATTTTGAAATGAAATAAAAAATTTCTATCGATCATTTTATATTATTTTATTTTTATTTTATTTTATTTTACGGAAGTGATAAAATGTAAAAAATTTTAATCGAACTATTGAAATTAAATGAAATAATATTACTAATTTTGATAGTTTTCTTAATTTTCTTGAGCTCTATGATTTATAAAATATTTATAAAATAATTATCTATATATTTTTTGTTTATATAATATGGCTATTTTGAAGATCAAATTTGTAATACTTATTGTAATACCTATATTATATATAATACAATCAATTGTCACTGTTTAATATTTATCTGATTTTATAATTTTCAATATATATTTTGAAAATATTTTGTGTTTTTAATAGAAGTATTTGCTCTTAAAATGATTCTATGGATTTTCTCGAGCAAAATGATATAGTTATCGATGAAGCTATATCGTTTATAATTAATTACTCGAGTAGATAGATAGAATAGATAATTAATTGATTGCAGAATAGAATTATATATTCCATGAAGCTTTTTATTAATAAAACTCAATAATTTAGGAAGCTTCTAATAAATACAATTAGGGAGCTAATAAATACAATTTAGTTTGAAAGAACTGAACAAAGTGCTGCAGGCAATTAGCTTAAAAACCAATAATTAATTATTCGACCCAATATCCAAATGAAATTTCGCGGAAACATATGTTCGGAAATCAATGTAAATTGAAACAATTAATAAATTTAACGGTAAATTTGTCTAAGAAAAGCGATAATTTCTATTTTTATATTTTGTAGAATTTTAGATGTTCGATATGAGTAAGAATAAATTATGTGATTTATTAGATTTATTATTTGAAATATTAGTTTTTGCAATACTATTTGCATTGCAAAAATATTAATAATGATTCACTAAAATTATTATTATAGAGTAAAATTATATAAGTATACTGTGATAAAATAATTATAAACTATAAAACGATAAAATTTATAATAAAATTTAATACCTTATTATCTTTTATGTAATAGTTGTTATGATAAATTATATATATTATATATATATTTTATATATATATATATATAAAATAATATTATTTATTGAAAAACCAATGTTCTAGAATTAAATTTTTATTCATCAAATCCAATATTCATATAGAAAATAATTTTGCATATAAGAAAATGCTTTAAAATTCGTTTAAAAATCCAATATTTGCTCAAAATTTTTTATTTATTCCACGATTTATTTTCTACAATTACTTTTCAAAAAATTAAATTTCTTAAATTTTTTATTTACTTCAATTCCGAGACTGAGAACTAATTATTTCTTTTTGTATTAATCTCTTTTTATTAATTCTTATCATAAAAATTGATTTTATATTCATCTTTTGAGGAACAAATTAATAATAAATATAGAGTTTCCATTGTTTCACTCTTTTAGATTTTCAATAACTATTATTTTTATAAACAAAAGAAAAAAAATTTCTTATTTGAATAATTGATTTTATTACAAATACTTGCTACAACTTTAATCAAATTTGTACTTAATTAGATCATAATTATGTACCAAAGATATGAATAAAACTCAATGAGAATTGAAATCGTGAAAGAATCGTTAACATATACAGAATTGATTTCAGATTGTTCGGGACAAAATGCGACAAGTGCAGTGAGTGCTTTAGCAAGGATGACTACGTAATGAGGGCAAGGAGTAAGATTTATCACATAAAGTGCTTCCGATGTTCAGCCTGCATGAGACAGTTAGTGCCTGGCGATGAATTTGCCTTGAGACAGGATGGCCTGTTCTGCAGACATGACCACGATGTTCTCGAAGGCGGAAAGCTCTGCTCTGGACCTGGAGGTGTTCCTGGAAGTGAAAACAACAATAATGCATCCCTTATGAATAATAATCATCATCTGCATCCCAACGATGGTTCAATATCAGGTAAAAAAATTTTTATAATTATATAAAAGAAATGGACATGTAATAAAAGTATTTACATATATATTCTCGCGTAATCTATATATATATATATATAAAATATAAAATATGTCTGCTTATTATTATTATCTACGAAAAAATGACATTAACAGATTAATTTGACTATTTCCATAAATGACAATTTGATAGAATAATGGCATCCTGACTTTTATCACGTTGACAAATGACTAACTTATTTGAGGATTACATTGTCTGGACATGGACTATCAAAGTACAAAGAGCAAATTTACTAAAGGGAGTCCGCTCGAGGGGAAGCTCAAAAGCTGTTCTGATATAATGGTGTTGTATTAGGATCACCAGTCATAATTAGGTGTTGATAATTGAAGCCCTTAAGACCCGAAAGGCTTGACCACTTCCCTCCTATATATCAGGATTATATAAGATTAGCGTTTCTCGAGCTAGTCCTAATATGTGAGCATACACTGTCTAGTTTGATTGGATTAAATATTTAATAAGATTCGCGAGAGTAGATAATAATTTAATCTTATTCTATCATTTATATTGCGTTACATCGCAATAGTAGATTAGTTGACAAACATTATATTTAATGTAACAGAAAACATAATTCTTCGAATATTTGTGACCGGTTAGTGTACAAATATCATCGAATGCTAAAATCTCTAAGCAAGTAGCAAAATCGTTGAAATGTATTGGAAAAAGTCTTGAAAGTCACAAGAATCGCATAGAGAATGTCAAAAGTTTGGGTGACATATTATTTATATACGGTCACGTCTACTATATTACTAATTCATTATTTACACGGACCGACGATAAATTATATTTGGACGAGTATTCTAATCGATGATAATTGAAAATTGTGTAGTATGACATAGAGGGCCAAGCTAAAACGTTCTTTCCTAATTCTCGCGTAAACAATTTGATGGAAGGTCGTCGCGAGCCGCATATTTTCTATGTTGTTTGTCACTTGGCTTCCTTGTGGAAATCATTGCACCTAAACCATCTTTTCCCGATACACAAAATCCATAGGGCCACACATCGGTGACGACAGTGGTTCGACAACTCTTTACAGAGGAGCCAAGGTGTCAAATGTAGCACCTCTCTGCCAACTACCGTGGCACATAACTACGCACGATCTCCTTCATTTCTTCTTTTTATTTATGGACGTTTATTCAACTTTTTTTTCACCTCCGTTCAGAAGTCGCTTCCTTTTTACTTATTTAATGGATAGTATGTCTACGAATTCACATATATCATAGGTATCATTTCTTATATATCATAACGATTTTATTTTTATATCATTTTTGAAAATGATACATATACAAAATAATAAAATTTTTTTTTATGAAATTATATTTTTATCACTTATATATAAATATAGCTTAGGAAAAAATATTTTATTCGTACTTTAAATGATAACAAACATGCAATGTTGCAGATTATTTCGCTAAGAGAAAATATTGCTTAAGTTTTTTTATTTTGGATTATTTTCTCGAAAGAAGAAAAAAATATGTATAAAAAACAATAAAAAAGAAATTATACATCATATTAATTATACATTATAATTATACATATAAAATATTATTTTTAATATTATTTCCTATCAATAATGTAAATAAATTTGATAAAATTTATGAATTTAAAAACGTTAATAAATTAATAAACATAGAAATTTTCTGTGCTATCAAAAACTAGTTCAATTAAAATTAACAGTCTTTTTTTTGAGCAAAAAATCTTTTTTGAAGGTTTTAAATAGAAAATTCCTTCATTACGCAAATTATATTACAAACGTTACCTTTATTCTTTAAATCGCATGATTTAAGAGCAATAATTAAACAATAAACGACATAAAGTGCTTATTAATAATGAACGATTTTATTTTTGCCGACGACATCTTTTAATACTTTCTCGTCTATAAGTTTTCTCAAACAATTTTAACTTTCTTTCTCTTTCTTCTCCTCCTTCTTTTTCTCTCTCTTTTTTTTCGAATGCGGTTCTTCCTTTGTGACTGCTTATTTGGTTAGGACACAAAAATAGGCGCAGGATTTCGTTTGCTCGGTTGCCTTTTCGTCTTACCGTCCGCAAACATTCGATTTCATGCGACTACCAAATCCTTTCGAAGGACACCGCCAAGGAAACTGGATCCTTATCGCGGCACGAGTTACTTATTACTCGTTAATTGGGAGTTAATGAAATTCGATGCTCGTTCCTCGTCCAGCCGTTTACATATGGGTTTCGCTGTTTGGTCGGCTAAAAAGTGTCCAAAAGGTTTCTTTTCTTCTTTTTTTTTTCTTTTTCTTTTTTTTCTTTTCTTCTTTTTTTTATTCTTCTTAGTGGAATCGTTCTTGAGAAGTTCGTTCTGATCGATGCGACTAATAAGGGAGTTGAACCTGAAAACTCGAACATTTCTTTTTTATTTTACATCTTTCTTCGGTTTGTAAAGAGATTCGACATAAACATCGGATAATTTCTATTTGCTCGTCCAATGATAATGGATGAGATAAAGTGTGTAGAACATGGATATGGGGTGTTGATGTGAATTTTCAACGCATATAACATGTAGTTAAAAGCTAAAAGAAAGTTAAATAAGTATACATTCGAGCGTTATTATTATTGCTTCGATGATATTTCTCTGACATTCCTTCGTTTTTTAAAACAATTTTAGTATCGTATAATGTTATATAATGCTTTTTCTATGTATGTTATTTCTATATATATAAAGGAATTATTATAGCATTATCAAATCAAATAATAAAATATAGATATTAATATATTCAAGAAATATTTTCAGGAAATCAATTTTAAAGGACACAAATATAAAAATTATTTTACAAAAATATTGATTAAGGCTTATTTATTAAGTTATAAATAATTTAAATTTGTACATGAAACGAAATGGGAACAGAATGCGACGGCGGATGTGACAAGAACGTGAAGGATGCGGTCTTACTCTATTTCTGTCTCGCTTCATCTAACATAAACTTAAATTACTTATAACTTAATAAAAACCTCAATATTTTTTATATCTTTTTTTTATCTTTAGAATCGATTCTCTTTATAATTATATTAATATTCTGTATATTTACATATATTTAAATATATCTCTCTTCCGTTTTTTTTAATAAAAAAGAAATATAGCATATTTGGAAATATTTTTTGGAAATTCTAATTTGTTTAAAATAAATAAAAAATTATTACAAATTGGAAATAAATGATTATAATATTAATTAATATTACATAATTTAAATATTAATAAATATAAATATTTATATAATAACATAATAATATTGTAATATAAAACAAATAAAATTACAAATTATAAAGAAATTAATATATATTTCAAACTTTGAATAAATATAGAATGTCTGAAACTTTGATTTAATTAAAAAATAAAACAAAATAAAGATTTTATTAAGGTGCAATTTGGAATAGTGATAAAAAACAAATGTTTATTAAAATTATTTTCTCTTGCGATCTAATCAAATATAAAACACAATATTATATTATGAAATTATAATATTAAATAAATATTGATTAATCTTAATCTTTATAAAATTTATTTTCTATATTAACATAATGAATTGTTTTTCAAAATTTTTATCAAATACAAATCTACTATCAATCTTTTTGTTTATTAAGTTGGTTAATCTATGTCTTCTCATCATTTATTTTCATTCTATTCATCTAAAGAACGTTGACATTGGAATATAAAATATTTCAAATTATGAATATTTTTTTATGAATATTCCAGATTAGTAATGTGAAATTGAAACTCAAAATCTTGTATCGCATTATATTCTTAGAATATTTGTAAAATTCACATTAAATATGAATCTAAAATTAAAATGTAAATCAATAAATTAAATGATATATTCCAAAGTTTTGATAATATTTTGATTATGATTTCAATAATTGAATATTTGCTAAAAAAGTTTCCCAAATTAACATTTTATTTTTCTGCAGATTAAATTAAAAATATTAAAATTACAAATTTTGTGCAAATATTATTAATTAATAAGTCATTCATTTTTATTATTTACAATGTTAAAAATTAGAAAACATTAATAGTTGTTTAGATATTTCTGTATTCCAAATTACTAACAATATTCTGAATGTGTTGCATTTTCAATACATAAGAATATTAAAATTAGAAAATATATAAAGACATTAAAATTATTCTAATAATAAAATATTCTTATTAGTTCTTTTTTAATTTCTTTTAATTAAGATAAAAAAATCAAGAAATTGTTCAAATTAATATTTCAATATCTTTTCAATCTAAATATATTTAAATTCTATAGCAATTATTCTAAATCATAGTAATCTTATCCAAGTGTATTCAAATATAATTTTATGTAAACTTCCGTCGTTCGAACAGCGTCAATACTCTAAACTTTTCTTAATCATGCTCGATCTCGTTGAAACGTTTCCAAAGACCTTCACGATATTCCTTACTGAACCTGGTACCGATCACAGAATCGCCTTCCAAGTTTGCCCATCGACAATATTGTCTCTGGCCTCTCGAATAGTTAGCAGGTATTCGTCTTCACGTTTTCCATCCGCCATGTCGTACCACTATCCGGATCTCCCATTAGTTGGCAAAGAACGTTTCGCAGGACCGATTAGATAGTCACAGCAGGACATTCTATTCTACATTCTACTCATTTAATTCCACTGCTCTTTCTCGAGAAGTTGGCTTTTTTCCAAAGCCAATTAGATTGGCAATAATTGTTGAAAGCAAAACAATGGAATCATTCGTGTTTTCTTCAACTTCTTCAATTCTTCCTTCTGATTTTCAATTTATGATTTTTAATCTGTAATTTAAGAAATAATATAAAGTTTTCGTTAGTTTTTTTGGAATATAAATACATGATAAACAATATTGAATATATATATATATATATTTATATATATAGAGTATTTATATTTTATTTTAAAATAATTTTGGAGAATTGATTTTAGAAGCCAAAATTTATTCGAAAATAATAGTATAGTATAATAGATAACTTTGATTATCCGAATTTTCTTTTATCCAAATGTTATATTATCGAAATGTTTTATTATTCAATACATTTCATACTGTCCATATATAGTCTGTGCTATGTTTACATTTACTTCTATTGTAATTTTTTCTATTGTAATTATCAAAGCTAATTATCAAAACCGAATTTTTTCACAATATTTTAATATAATATTTTGCGTTTAGAGAGTTCACAAATTTATATATATATTAATAATATCGGAAACAGGTAGTGTTAAAACAAAACATGATATTATTAAGATATTATTAAGAAATTGGAAAATAGCAAATATGAAATAAATTTAGCACAAGAATTTGAAAAATCTACAATTAATGATATAAAAAATATAAAAGAAAATATAAAGAATATTAATTCATCAGATATTAATTCTTGAAAAATTTTAAAGCTAGCAAAAAATAATTAAATATTTACCAATTTTCTTCAATAGAGATAAAAATATATATCAGTTTTTTATATTATTTAAATTAGAATATACAAAATTTAATAATTTAGAAAAATCTGTTTTATTTTTATTCGAATATATTTGTTTAGTTGCTATAATCGAAGTTATACTGTATTTAGTTATACTGTATTAGTTATACTGTATTACTTTTTTAAATGAAATAAAATGAAGATAAACTACAAAAAATTGAAAATAAATGAAGATAAACTTTCATTTAATAATACTAATATATATATATAATAATACATAATTTAATAAAACTAAATCAATCGATATTTTTCTACAAACTTTTATGTTTCTTTGATTTCTAAAATTAACGTTACAAATAGATATATTAACATTTTATTGTATTGTAATTATTTTAATTAAATTAGACTAAAAATATTTTCTTATTATTTTATAATATTATTTTACAATAGAATCTCAATTGTCGATGTCAAAACATAGTCAAAATAATCAAATAATTATCTATTTTTTTCATTAAGATTATTTTTTATAAAATATATTATAGATAATTATAAATATTAAATAATTAATAATTATTTAATAATTTTCTTCATTATCTATTCTATTCTCATAATCTTACACAATTTTATGGAAAATCATATAAATACTGTTATATCTAAATATTTATTAGCAATTTCTTCCGAATTGTAATTTTTCTGTAATTCCTTGTTCTTTCTATTTTATATTACAAATAGTAGTGATTTACAAATTCAATAATCATTAATTAATTCAATTTTATTTCTTTTTTTTTTAAATGATTCTTTTTTTCTTTTTGAAATGAAATAATACTATACAGATAATGAAAGCTTTCATCAATTAAAATTAAATTTTCTATTAATTATTCGATTATATTTCATTATATTTATATTTCATTTATATTTATTCGATATTTCAATAATTAATTATTTTATTAATAAAAGTTCTAATAATCAAGACTTCATTGTATTCTTATTATAATCATTTCAATTATTTCTGTAATTGGAAATTCAATTTTTATTTATTTTTTTTTTTTAATACAAATACTTTTGTAAATTGTTTTAAGTTAAAATTTAATACATATTAATTATATATTACTTTTACATATAAATATTTTTGATTCAAGATTTAATTCAAGATTTCTATACAATAGGCTATTATATTTTTAAATATTTATTTAATGATTTATTCTTACTTTTTATTAATCCATTAATAATACTTCTATGAAAAATTATATGTATTCAAGCAATGAAGTATCTAACTAACATTTACGTTATTAAAGAAGGTGAAAAGAAAAAAATTGTTCGAAATTAAAAATTTTAAAAAAATGGACGGATAAAAGATTGACATGAATAATTGCTTTGTTTGCAGACTCCGGATCTGAGAGTGGATCTCACAAAGCTGGTATGGGTGGTACTCGAGGATCGGGCAGCCATAAAAGCGGCGGCGGTTCTGACGGAAAACCAACCAGAGTTCGCACCGTTTTAAATGAGAAACAACTTCATACTTTGAGGACTTGCTATGCCGCGAATCCGCGACCGGATGCGTTAATGAAAGAACAATTAGTCGAGATGACAGGTTTAAGTCCACGAGTAATCAGGGTATGGTTCCAGAACAAACGGTGCAAAGATAAAAAGAAAACGATCGCCATGAAACAACAAATGCAAGAAAAGGTGACTATTCGAATTTTGCTATTTTATTTTCATTATATTATGTTTCATTTATTTTATTTTTTTTAGCATTATAACTATCAAATTCATCAAATTGATAGATTTTTTATCATTCCAATAATTAAATATTTTTGATAAAATTAATGCGAACTTTTATTGAAACAGAAATATAATTATATTACATTTAAATAAATGTAAATATTTATGTACATGTATGCATATCATTAAGTAGATAAATAAATATATTATTTCTAATTATGTATGTATATTTAGGATTTATTATAGGATAGCAAATTATTATATTTTGAATTGATTTCTGATACAAAATTAAAAAAAAATTATCATTTACATTATATTATTTTCATAAAATTATCATTTGAACGATACAATTTAACGAACGAAGATACTTTATGTTGTAGGATGGCCGTAAATTAGGCTTTGGTGGAATGCATGGCATTCCTATGGTGGCCAGTAGTCCTGTAAGACACGAGAGTTCTATAGGAATGACACCATTGGAAGTGCAAGCTTATCAACCACCATGGAAAGCTCTTTCAGATTTCGCTCTGCATACTGATTTAGACAGGCTAGATCCTAACACTCCTTCTTTCCATCATTTGGTATCGCAGGTAATTAATCAAAATTTTCAGTATAATATATAATGCTGCATAATATATATAATACTAGAATAATGGATAGGATACTTGATATATTTGAATATTTTATAATTAGAGAAGAAAAATATTTTAATATTACTATTAAAAATTTTTAATATTATTATTATTAGATATATTTTATATAATATCTTAAATCTTGAGCATACATATAAGTACGGAAAATTTTATAAAAAAAATTTGAATATGAAACATAAATTTAATTGATAAAATGAAATGACGTAAAAATTTCTGAAAATTATATTTCTTTCTTTCTATTCTTAAAAAAATACGAGTTTCTTTATCTTTCTCATAATTGTTTTAACTTTTTGTACTTCATTTTTGTTTTATAATAGTATACGATGCTATTCCTTAAGTTAATTAAAACTCTTACTTTTTTTATTAATTTTTCTAACGCATTTTTTTTTAATATTCGCTATCTTTTTGTCATTAAATCATAATCAAAGACATAAATATAATATAAAGATAAAAAAAAGATAATATAAAGATAATATAATAAAAAGATAAAAATATAATATAAATATTTAAATACATATTAATCTTCTAAAATTATAATATAATATTTTTTAGATAAAATGAAAATAAGAAACTTCTATTCGATTAAAATAATTGCAATAAAATAATCACATACAATATTATTGTTAAAAATTAATATTTTATTTTTTTTCTTCTTACTCAATAATTGATAAGTAAAATGATAAGTAAAACAGGATTGTAAAATTTTATATAATTGTTATGGTTTTTTATAGTTACTAATATATAACTTTTAATTATACATGCGATTTTAAGCAAATCAAATAAAAAAGAAATTCTTTAAATTAAACAATATTAATGAATGGTAATAGCTGTTGTATAAGTTCATAATTTTTATTTTATTTGAGTTTTAGTTAAAGTTAATTAACTTAAGTTAATTAACTTAACTTTAAAAATCTCACTACATATACAAATCAAATTTTGATGTTTGATATTTCCACTTCTCATTTTCCTACCATTTTTTCTATATATGATTTATAAAAATGATATTAATGTTTAATTTCAGATGCACGGTTATGATCTTCATAGCGGACCACCACAATTACCTCCACCGGGAATACTCGGTGGACCAATGAATGATGGTGGAGGTGGTGGAGGTGGATCTCTACCACCCCCTGGTCCACATCATCCCAGTGGTGGTGGTCCAGACATGGGTCAACACCCCGATAGCACAGATAGCTATGTAACTTACCTCGAAAGTGATAGTGACTCTCTTCATCATGATACAGGAAGTCCATAGTGTTGTGCAGTGTGGCCAGAACGAAAGTGTCCGCTTTCTTCGTGGTCTATTTTCAATAAGTGCTTAAAGAGAATTGTAGTCTGTGAGAACAAATAGAGTGAATGTATTGTAAATGGCTGGAAACGAAACATAAAATTTGGTTGAAAAATTATTTCTAAAAGAAATCTTAACCCTTCGCGCTTAATTTAGTCATACAAATGAAATATTTTATACATGATGATCCGTTATATAATTAGATAGTAAAATAAATAAATAAATAAATAAATCAAAAGAAAGAATAATATTTTTTTATTTAAATTTTCGTTTTTGTTTTTGTAAATTAAATTTTAAATTTAAAATTTTTCGAGTACAAGTGAAATTAAATAATTTTGAATATAAATAAATTATGGATATCTAAAATATGGAAATTACATAAAAATAAGAAAAAAATATAGAATAAAATTTTATGGCTTAAATTTTTGTTTCTGAAAAAACCGAAATTGAATCTATAATCAGGAAGTTGTATAATGAATTTTCTTGAAAATTAATTTTTAAATGAAAAAAGATTTTATGTTATTTGTTGTATGTTATTATTTTTATATAAAAAATAACTTCCTATTTATAATTTATTTGTATCTAGTTGAAATTAACTAATTTCATTTGTATTTAAAATATTTGATTTACTTAAAAAAAACTTCTAAATTTTATTTTTCCTTTTCAATTTTCATAAAAAAATTCTTTATTTGACTTACCATGAATAACAGAATATCTCGAGAGGAAATTTTTCCTTTTAAAGTGTGAATTATTATGCAATATGTTAAAACATTTTAGATATAGATTAATAAATTTTTCGATAAATTAAATGTGTAAATCATTGATCCATGAAATGAATATTGTACTATTAATCATAACATTTGAACCTGTATTAAAAATTTTTTATATTTTCATAATAATATCTAACTGAAATAAACATATGAATATTGATGAAAATTTATCAATATATATATATATATATATATAT